AATAAATATCTGAGAAAACCCAGAAGAAGCTACAGAACTGTGAGAAATTGAGTAGTAAGAAGTGGTTAAAAGATTGGGGGAAAAAGAGAAAATTTATTCCTTGTATTCCCCTACTGTAGGTTAATGTGAAAAGAGGCAGATAAATGCTGTTTAGTCTGTCTTGACTGTTACCACAAATGTACTGAAACCAGACAGAACAAGCATCGAACACTATGTATCAACGGGCCATGATCTTTCTGATTTTCAGTGCCTGAAGTGAGAAGTGTTAGGTGCAAATCCAGTTAAAATACCTAAAAGAGCTTAGGTGTTGTACCACAGAGCTTTTTGGATATTGTAATGAAATGCTGGACTCTCGCTGGTGGTGTAGGGTCTTCCTAATACATTTGAGGCATTCTCTGTGGGACAAGGAGAAAGCCAGGCATTCCAGGGTGGTTGGCAGGGTAGGCAGGCAGCTACTCTAACTCACCTTGCCAAGCCTACTTAGGTCTAAGCAGCAAGGAAACTCTGAAGATAGCTGAATCCCCAAAAGCTTTCAGTGGGTCTTCTGTCATATCCATCTTCCTGACAGTCCGGAACTACTGTTTAATACAATTGTCTGCTTCCTCTTTTTCTGGTTGTGGTTTTTTTTTTTTTTTTTTTTTTTTCTCTCTTGTCTCTTACTGTATAATAGTTTAAAGTTTTTCATCTTCAGAATAATTCTTTTATCATGGAATCCTAGTGTTCTCAGCTGTTGTCCTGTCTCCTCATCTTTGGACTGGTGAATCTTGCATCCTTTTGTGGACAGCAGCACATTTTAACAAGTGTTGGAGAGTGTTTACCATCAAGAATTTAGGGTTCATGTTGGCCAGTGAACTGAGATCTAACTTGTTGATTTAAAAACAGGGACGGGGCAAGCCTCTTCTGTTGCTTTTTGAAAGGAGTGTGCTGCTGTGTTGTGTTGTGTTCCTTCCCTGGGTGTATGCTAGGCATGGTCTCTGTTACAAATAGCATCTGGGGTGACTGCAGTTAAATATCTCACTTAGTAGGGCTGATTAGCATCTGGCACAAGTTACACTTGTGGAGAAAGAGTTAGCAAGGCTCAGTGCATACCTGATTATTCAGCTGAGCTTTCAAGAACATTCACACTGCTGCGAGGAGTCAAATGCAAACATTTCATACAGCCTGTTTGGGCTCATCACATCCTTAGTTCTAAGGAATGAAGAATTGAAATTTTGTCACTCACTGAGTTTAGGTTGTCCAGGATTGGGGGACAGCTAAATAGGGACAACAAATAACAACTGAATTTCATGTTAAAATTTTTTCCAAATTGTGCTAAACCTAATTGAGGGTTTTTTTTACCATTTCATAGTATGTGCACTGCTATCATAACCAGTTTTCAACTACATGCATAGCTTGTCATCCAAGTAGGACCCAGTGGTACAAGACTCTTATGATTTTACTTAATTGTTTTTCTGTAATGTTTATGTGTAGCAACTTCTTCTGGCTGCTGTTTGCATATTAACCTCTCTAAGGAACAGAAGCTTGTTTAGTCAATAAAAATTGGAATTGTGAAGGAGGTTCATGTCAAAAAAGTGTGATTCCATCTGCCCCATGTCAGATATTCTTTCTTTCTGCTGAGAAAGTTGCAAGAAACTGAAATAGGAATAGCTCCTTCAACCTTAAGTATAGCATCACTGTGGCTGCACTCTGTAATTACAATGTCACTGGAGAATTACTTAACAATTTTGATGCTTTAAACTATGACAGACTAATTCTGAGAAATGTTATTTTAGTTCTGTGGCACTTGCAGTGGTGCACAGCTGCCTGAAATTTCTGAATGTACACTACTTTCTTCTTAGAAATTGGAGACAAAAAGGAACCTCTGAAACAAACTGTCAAGCTTCCTTTAAGGAAGATGATTCAGATCTAACCTTCCACAGGTAGGTGGTATCACTGGGGATGAATGAAGAATTCTGCAAGATGTAATGCCATTTCACCAGCAGGAAAATACTTCATATTTAAGATAAAAATGCTTTTGAAAGCTCCTGACAGACTCAAAGTGACAAGGTAGTTCCTAGGCATTAAGTCCGTATCAAGATAGGAGACATTGGAACAACCTGGGACAATATATTTAAGGAAAGCTAGGATAAAATGAAGATAATACAGATTGAATTTGTCCCTGAGGTTTTTTGCTCAGAAATCTTGTAAATGTCACATTCTAGTTTTTGTAAACTTTACTTAAAATAAGATTCCTCATACTGCAGTGTATGTAACTGTCACGATGTATTTGTGAAGCTGTATACCTGTCAGTCAGACTGGATTCCTGAGATTTGACAGAGCTGCTGCCTCATGTCTGTCCTTTCATAAACTTTTCATAAGTCTTTTTATCAAAGATGGAGAAACTTGCTAATGAAGTTAATAGTCTAGTGCTTCCCCCCCCCTTCCCCCATCTTATTCTTTGAACTAGCCATTCTAGGTTGAGTCCTCCTTCCATCTATGTTTGACAAAGATGTACTATGGAAGGTACCTCAGTCTGGTAGTGTGAATCGTATACATACTGTTGTTCTTCAGCTGTCTTAAATTACACCTCACTAACAGTTAAAGTAAATATCCTGTAATCTTTGACATGTGTGGCACTTTGTCAAATCAAATCCTTTTGTTTTCTTGGTTTAGTTTCCTTTTTTGTAGATAAGTCTTGAGGGGGACACATTTAAAGCCTGACTAGATTTTCTTGGAGGCTTGTCTTTCTTTGATGTACATACCTCTATAGGTTTCACAGAGTTTCTCCTGGTGCACATCAGCACATCTAAAATCAGAAGTGGTTTCTGTTAATCTTCCAGTACATCTGTCAGACATTTTGAGTTGTGGTAGTTTATTAATACATACAGAGTTACACATGGAGGCACACCCTGTCTTTTTCTAAAGAAAACCTCTGTATCATCCATTTTCATTTAATAATTTCCTCCAAATTGAGGAACCTAAGACATTGTACATCTGTGGTTAAACAATGAACAGTCCAGGTGAAGGACATAATTCAAAGTAAACAGATGTTCTTCTGAAATGTCATAGTGGTTGAGCACAGGTACTGAAATGGCTAGAAGTCAGATGCAGTCACATGCAACAATTATTGCAAGATAAAAACCCTTTGAAAAGGTAGATAGTATGGATTTTGTTTTTGAAGCTTAGTGCTCTGCGATTTTGTGTAATATGTTAAAATGGCAAACGGCATCCTAGGAGTCTCTGTGCAGGTGTTGTCAGAGCAGCTGATTAGCAAATGGCTGCTCAAGTCAAATTTTCTTAGGAAGCATTATATTTAGTAATATATTTCTTATTTTTCTTTTTGTTCTTCTTTACGAAAGAATTGTTTTCAGTATGTGACTTCAATACCATCTTAGCTAATTGCTCAAAAAAAAGCCATGTCTTTTTGGGGGTTTGATTCATTACAGTCTTTCCTCCCCCAAAGTTCTCATAAAGAACTAATTTTTACCAGATACAGTTACTTTATTTAAAATAGTGTGTTACATTTCACGCATACATTTATTATTGCTCTTAACATCAAGGGACTTGCTCAGAAATATTTTTGGCCTTCAGCTTCTTTATCATAATTGTAGAACATTGTACGGTTCTGACAGAGATGGATTTAGACTATTTATTGACTGGATGTTTTTCATGAAACAGGGGTGGTGAACAGAAAGAATGAATTGAAATGCAGTAATGTTCATAATTCATCTATCATAATTTAACAAATGGAAAAGACTAAGACAAGCTTCCATCCATCACAATTATTTAACTGCACTCCAGGGTGAGTTAAATTGTATTAAACAACTTTTGGCTTAACAGATTTGGAGAATTGCATTGAGCAAGTTGCATCTTCTCTATAGTTTACTGCTACTGTTCAGTGATTTACAGTTTTGACATTTGTTACAAAACATTTAATTTGAACTAGAGATTTTTCAAAGCTGTTTTAAAAACAGACTTGCATAGATAAAGCTTTATAGGCGCCTAGCACATAAATAACAGCAACAAAACCTAAATTGGAAGCAATACTACTGTAAGTCTGAATTGTCCTTTAGAGGTACCTGCTTGTTCCCTGGTTTAGATGTTGGAGGGCCATAGCACTGAAGGAACTGATTTTCTAATTTAGACAGTTGTGCCCAAAGTCAAAGGGAGGTAAATGTTATTGCAGTCCTGAGACTCTTTAACCCTTATGTTTGGCATGTGCCTTGCATTCTTTCCTGCCTTGATGAGCTAAATAAACTATTGTGTGTTGCTTGTATGATAGTTTAGGCAAACTGAACTTTCTCCCCATTAATAAGAAACAAGCTAAATAAAGAGGAGAATCTAATTAACCAAGTGGTTCCTTTGTACTTGTCTACATATGTGACAATTATGCATTAAATCAGATTCACATGTGTTGTGTTTGAGAGAAAGCTAACACATTTTTTTTGAGTTCTCATACTCTGCAAGAGACTTTAATGGAAAAGAAATTATGGTGTGCGGGCACTGAATTCCAGGCCTTGACATGTGATGATTTAGCACAAGTATTTGCTTCTGGACCACATTGCTGACTGTGAGGGAGACTAACAAAGATCGATAGAAATTATTGAGAGGATACAATAACAGCAGTGCTGGTAGTGACTGCATGGGGGAAACTGCACCAGGTGTTGGATACAGCCCAGGTCTGCAGCTTATGAAGTGACATGTTGCAGCACTGTTGCCAGATGCAGGTTTAAATCTTCATCTTCTGCCCATCTTAACAGGATCTGAAATACGACAAGTTTAGGGACTGTATGAATTTGTTCTTTAGACTGTTGGAATGTGGCTGCCCTTGGACTCAAGACATCAGCTTGGAGAGTCAGGCTGTACTGTAAATCCACATCCTTGGCTGCTGGTTAGTATAACTGCATGCGTGTGGTTGAGCAGCATTGCTCTTCACTGTATGGCTTGGCTTGAAGAAGCTTAGGACCTGCCCCTAGAAATGGAGCAAACTGTTGGGCAAAATACCACCCCCTCACTGGTAATTCTGCTGGGAAGCTGTGTTGAGCACAGATGTTGTTTCTGAAATGTAGCAGTTATGTTTCCACATGAGTTCATAATTTTGAATACTGCGGTTCCTCTTGTGCTTAGGCATGAAATAGGAGTATCTCTGCAAGGCATTTTAGTTAAGGGAAAAAATAATATAAGAGGGGGACAGAACCATAACTTGTGGGTATTGAACCTTCAGCATTCCTTGATATACTGACATAAACTCCATAAACTCAATTAACTAGTTTTGTTTCATCTTAGTAGTAAAAAGCCATCCCCACAGATTTGCCTTGGTGCCAGTTTAGGGTCTTTGCAGTATTTACTCTGCTGGTAACTACTGAGTTAGCAACATCATAAACACATGTCTGTGAAATGCGCTTCTGCATTCTTCACAAGTTCTGTACTGCTTTCAAAATACCCAGAGAAATCTTTATGATATTTCCACCTGATGGAATTTTTATTGTCACCAGAACATTTTTAAAAGCTTGTATTGTATTTCATCTCTCCTTAAGTGTAATATTATTATATAAACTTAATTGTTTTAAACACCATTTAAAAAAAAATTGTTCTTTAATTTTCTTAGCACCTAATTGCTTCTTCTATTATTTTCTTTCATGAGGTCAATTATTTCCAGAAGAGTCTGAAAAGGATTCTATTCCTAATCCAGTCCTTTTCATCTTTCCTGCATTATCTCCTTTACTCTTTAATTGCACCATCATTATGTGCAGAAGTCACATCAGTGCTGAGTTGGGGGGGCAGTTAACTGCTCTTAAGTATTGTTTTCTACATTGTTCTTCTTTCTACTCTTGCCCATGCTCCTTGATTAAGTAATCTTTTTACTTTTTTGGGGGGTACACCTCTGGTGCTTTTTCTCTCATGCATGCGTATCATCTCCAAATGCTTTCATACATTCCTAAAATTAGATGTGTTCTTTTCTTGCCTTTTGCAGAAAACTGTTTTGTATGCTTTCCTCTCCTCCATCAGTTACTGCAGCATCCACTGGTGTTCTTTTGTACAGTCTATTGGAAATCCAAAGTCACATTCCCTGCTGTCATGCTAGAATGAGTGTTCATATCACAGCCTTTCCCTTGATTGCCTGCTTCACTAAAAGCTTCCTGCTGTTGGCTTTTGTGGATTATCACGTTTGTAAATTTGCTGTTGGCTGTGACAGCCCCTTTCTTTCCCCTTTCCTTCCCTTAAGCAAAACTAGTTAGCTTAACCTACCTGCTACTTGAGGTGGTCTTGTAGCTGTCTACAGGCTATCTTCCATGCCCCCTAGTCAAGGGACTTCTTCCATATGCTTATCTTCATTCAAAAAAACATCTTTCTAACCTGGCACTGAGATTATGTGCAAGTAATTAGTCAACTGATTAGGATGAGGAGCAGTGAAAGGCAGCCTAAAATGGATACTAATTAGGGGCTTTTGGCAATGTAGTGAAAGATGAACAAAGATGATTAGAGAGGGATGGGCCTTAAAGGCAAGGATTTACAGTTTTAGTAAAGGATTTACAGTACAGAAGCTGTTGTTGATTTACCATCTGTGAGAACTGCTGCAGCAGTGTCAATTTGACATGTTATCTTGAGACTCTTCATGAGTGACTAGGTGTGATAGTGATGTGCCCTTTTTAAAATAATCAAGCCATCTTTGTTGCTTCATGTTTTGTTTGTCTGTTTGGAGTGGACCTTTGCAGGGACTATTGTTTGCTGTACTACAAAGACCTCAAGATTTCTTTCTTGTCAGGTTTGGTGAATGTCAAATGGCTCCACATAGTGCTGAGGATATTGTAACACAGGGATTAGTTCCCTGCAAAGAAAATGCCAGAGTTGGGGCATTGTCATATATAAGCCATAACGTCAACAGCAAGCAAGCACATAAGGAGGTTCTAATGCCTTTCCTTAGCAGGAAGGAATGTGATCAGAGGGCAGCTGAGTGAATGTGCAACATCCCCATTACCCTCAAGTCCTGTATCTACCTGGCTCAAGGCCATTTCTTTTGTTTTCATATGCTTATCTTGGGGAAACAAATCAAAACAAACAAACAAAAAAAAACACCAACAAAAAAAGGTGCAGGGAGTGGGGTATGGGTGAATGTCCCTAGTCCTTTTGGACTGAAGAACAGATCTACTGGTGAAAATCAGTGAAGAAGGAAAATGACTTTAGTGTTACTATTGCACTTACCTTAAATATGTCTTCAGTATGCATCAGTTTGAGCTATACTGAAATACTTCTCTAAAAAATTGGAAGGTAAATATGCTAAACAGTAAGAAAAATAAGAAATACAAATTTTCTGTCATTGTGGTTGCTTTAGTTTAATTCTTGATTGCTCTCAGGTTTACCTGAGGTTAGGGGGAAAAAAAAGAGAACATAAAAACTGCTGAAGAACACAGGAAAATATGGCTGAATGTAATGTGTGTGTAAAATGCGGAACACTTGTAAATGAGGCGATTTTCTGCAGAAAGATCTATGATTCTGTAGTACTCATAACTGTGAAGAAACAGAGGTGCATTTTGTCAACTATGGTCTAAATTTTACTTTAATAACATAACTTTCTAAGAAATAGAAACTTACAAAACACAGTGAAACTGTCCATCTTGCATCTAGTAGTCTCAATTTTAAAGAACAAAAGCTTATTATAAATTTTTCTCTAGAAAGTTCTCATGCACAGAATTTCCTGTCTCCATGAATGTTTAGTGCTTTATTTACTTCTGTTGAGCTTTCTTTCTGCAGCCCCATTGTTTGCAAATCAGCGCCTTTCTAAATAAAATACCGTATTTCCCAGACCACTGCTAATAGTTTCATGCCACAGGTGAGTTATATCGCTTTTTTTTTTTCTTATGAATAAAACAAAGTGTGTGAAAAGGCAGGGGGGTATGTGTGTTCCTAAAAGTTTTAATCCAGTTTAGTGGAGTTATTTGAAAGGGCAGTGACTTCACTGATAGTGATGGTGTTTTATGTTGTAGGTGATTCTTTTACATCGCTAATCTGAGTGTATGGCTGCAGATGCTGTTTTAATGAAACAGTTTGGACTGGTAGGTTCTCTATAAAAATACCTGTATTATTGTTTTTATGTTTAAGGTTTGTTTTTTTTGTCAGGGAAGATAGATCTGGTAAAGAATTTCCCTGCTTCACAAGTCAGAACTCCTTTTTAGGTTAGGAATTGCTCTGTGCTGTCCTTACTACTGCTGTTGGCAATCTACTTATTAGCATCATAAAACCGTGTAACTATATCAGTGTGCTTGTTTATCAGGAGAATGAGACATTTCTTTCTAACAATTCATAGGTGCTTACTTCTGCTTCCAGAAGTAATGTGGATTTGGAAGTAGCAGAGGAAGAGATAATCAAATTTATATGCAGAATGTTACTAATCACAATAACAGAATTGTTTGGTTTCTCCTTGTGGAGAAGGGGGGAAAAGTAAAACAGGTTATAAAAATGGGGGGGAAGTGGGGGAAGGAGGGGAAGGAGAAATAGATGTACATTAAAATGTTAGGAATTGTGTAAAATTGGTAAGACAAAGCATTAAAAGGGTGAATGGGATGACCAAGTAATTATAAGTCTGTCAAGCAGACATGAATCTGGTGCAGAGTAATAGAATGGCTGCCTGGGAGTCAACTGTGTTACATATCTGTAATTCTTCATTAATTATTTTAAATCAACACAAGGTTATGGGAAATAGATCTTTTCTCAAGAGAATGTGATGCTTGGAGAGAACAAATCTGACTTTTCAAAGATATGTGACATTTAATATTTGTAAAATGTTTGATTTGGTGCCATGTGATATGCTGATTTAGAAATTGGAAAGATACAGAATCATCAGCATACATCAAGTGTGTTTTTTAAAAAATGGCTAATAGGTCTCAATAACATAATTGTAGTCAGTAATCAATGTGGAGTATGTGGAGGTCCTCTGAGGATTAATTTTAGATCTGACAGTGTTTAACCTTTTTATTAGTGATGAGGAAGAAATATAGAGTCATTAGTGATAAAAGCATGCAGATGACAACAGGGCTAGTGCCATGGTAAGTGGTGATCAGTGGAGAGCTAAATGATCTTGAAAGCTGAAGTGCAAGAAAGCACTGTATGTTTTGACACAGAAACGAGGCATGCCTCAAGCCTAAAGAAACACTATCAATGAAACAGTGATTGAAAAAGACTTGGAAGCCATGCTTTTTGATGTCTGATCAGAATTATCTGAAAAAGGAGGAATACTTGGCATTCTTACATTGGAATGCTGATCTAGCTCATGCATGAATGACAACAAACTCAAGGGCACTCAGAAGAACGATGTTGAACCATTGTTTGAAAGCACACCTTTTTAAATTCCTTAAATCTGCCACTAGAATCTATTCGATAAAGCAAATTTACAGTATTTCATCTGGGTTTTCAAGGGTGCTGTGGAGAACTCTTAATGATTGAGACAACCCACAGAGTGGCAGGCCACTAGTAAAACAAGCCTGAATGACTACACAAATTTAGTCTGAGAATTAAATGTAGGCTGAGAATTAGGTGAATTCATTTCTGGATAAAGTTGAAGTGGATGTTCCTTTTGTACCTGTGGTCCTGATGGGATGCACCCATGAGTGCTGAGTGTGAGCTGGCTGATATCATTGCAGGGCCATTTTTCATAACCTCTGAATGATTTGTAAGAAAGCAAATGTCACCCCTATCTTCAAAAAGAGCAAGTTAAGAGGATTTAGGAAACTGCAGGCAGGTCAGCTTTACCTCCATCCCTGGAAAGGTGATGGAGCAACTAATTCTGGAAACTATTTCCAGTCATATGAAGGACAAGAAGCTCATCATGAGCAGTCAGCATGAATTCACCAAGGGAAGGTGACTTGACTGGATAACCTTCTTGAGCAGTTTAATAATCTGCTATGATAAAATCACTGGCTTGGTACGTGAGGGGAAGGCACTGGATATTGTCTGTCTTGACTGCAGAAAGACTTTTGACACTGATCCTCACAGTGAAAATGATGAAGTATGGGCTGGATGAGCAGATGGTGGAGTGGGCAGAAAACTGTCTGAATAGCCAGGACCCACAGGGTGGTCATTGGTGACACAAAGTTCAGTTGGGTGACAGTGACTGTTGGTATACCTGAGGGGTCTGTCTATACCGGGTCCAATCTGATTCAACATCTTCATTAATGAGTGCACTCTCAGCAAGTTTACAGATGACACAAAACTGGGAGGGGTGGCTGATATGCTTGAGAGTAATTCAGTGAGGGGAAGTGCCAAGTCCTGCACTTGGGGAGGAACAATTCCAGGTACCAGTACAGGTTGGGAGCTGCCTAGCTGGAGAGCAGCTTGGCAGAAAAGGACCAGGGGGTCCTGGTGGACGCCAGGCTGACCATGAGCCAGCAACATGCCCTTGCTGCAAAGACTACTGGTGCTATCCTGGGCTGCATTAGGAGTGTTGCCAGCAGGTGATTTGCTCAGCACTGGTGAAACCACAGCTGGAGTGCTGGTTCCAGTTCTAGGCTTCCCAGTACAAGATAAATACATGGACATGCTGGAGAGTATCCAGTGGTGGACCACAAAGATGGCCTGGACTGGAATATCTCTCACATGAGCAAAGGCTGAGAGAGTTAGAACTGCTCAGTGTGGAGAAGACTGAAGTAGATTTTATCAATGTCTATAAATACATGAAGGGAGGGTACAAAGGGGATAGAGGTAGGCCTTTACAGTGGTTTCCAGTGACAGGATCAGGGGCAATGGGCACAAAGGGAAACACAGGAGGTTCCCTCTGAACAGCAGGAAACACTATTTCCCTGTGAGGGTGACTGACCACTGGCACAGGGTGCCTAGGGACATTGTTGATTCTCTAACCTTAGAGAAACTCGGAAACCATTTGGGTGTTGTTCTGGGCAAGTGGATCTTAGCAGCCCTGCTTGAACAGGGAGGTTGGACCAGGTAACCTTAATCCTTGGGGACAGTAAAAAGCCATCTGAAGCTGGTCCTGAGCAGCCTGCTCTAGGTCAGTGATCTCCAAACCCTTTTGCTCATGAATCCCTATCAGTAAAAAAATTTTGAGCATGCACTCCCAATATGTGTATATTTAATTTATATACACATACAACTACACATATGTAATTAGAACAGTTAAAACATATACAAAAAGAAGTTTAAAATGGATGATATAAAGATGAAATAAACAATGTTTCTGAATCTTATTTTAGCAGTGATAAAACCCCTATTTTCTCCTAGTTAAAATATTGCTATTAATAATACATTGTTTAGGGAGAGCTGTGTGATTTAATGTTTCAGTATTTTTAAAAAAATCTTTAACACTTTATGATGCAGCAATTTTAAGGGCTGCTTCTAAGTTTAGTTTATTTCAACATTGAAAATTTAATTTTTTTGGGGCCAAATTCTTGTGATGAGATCTCATTAGGTCATCACTGTTGTTACCTTGTAATGTGGCTTACAAAGAGCTCTTACTAAGGACAAGTCAGCTCTGCAATTTTCTTGTTATTTGCTTGTACTTGCATTATTAGTGTCATCTTCAGACTTTGGTTTCTTTGTGTGATTATTTTTAAACTATTTGTCCATTTTGTGAGTGTTACTTTACTTCAGTTAAAACTGGATAATATCCATAAATCCACTCAACCAGGGACACTTGAACCGCAATACATTGCAATTTGTTTAAAGCAAATGTTCAAGTGAGGGCATTGCTGTCATCCCCTCCATGGAAGGAAGATGTGACCATCTGATACAGAGACCAACTGAGGGTGTCAGTGTCCAGGTGTATATTAAATCTTAGTACAGTTTAATTTCTTCTGTATTTAAAATAAAGAAAAAATTTTAAGTTCTAATATTTTCTACCCACACCACAGTGGATTGTCTTTCATGCATACTGCTTTGGAGAACACTGCACCAGGTTGTCCATGTTTGGGGTGGGGGACACAAGATGACCCCCAAAGGTCCTTTCCAACCTCTACCCTTCTGTGACTCTGTAATTAAAGAATCTAAAAATGCTGAGAAGTAATTTTACAAATACATTTAAGTGACATCTTTGAGATGATGATGTGGTGATAACTGGATTATTCTGTTCAAATGCCTCTTTCAGAGAGAGACAAGAAGAGGACACAATAGCTATAGACGCATAATCTTCAAATTTATACTGGGAGACACTTGTAGGGATCATCATGCTTCCACACCTTAAGCTGAAAAGAGGACTGTCCTGCTAATTCATGGGAGAAGTACTTCAAAGGGCTGTAAACAGTTAGGAACATGTGATGAAGTGAGAAAGATTTAACATAATCATTAGGATCTGTACAGCACCAGTAGGGAGGTAGGGGTGAGGGAGAGAGAGAGAGAGGCATTTTGTGAAAGAAGTGGTTAAAAAAACCCTCCAACCAACCAACAACCACAAAAAATGACTATACCTCCAAGTCCTAAAACTATTATACATTACAGAAAAAAACCCCATGCAAAACACACTGACTTACTCTGTTCTTCTAGTATGTTTTTAACTTGAACAAATAATACTTTGCTTTTCCAAGCTGTTCGGTTGCATGCGATCATCCTTGGCTCCAAAGGAAGCAGAGTAACTGCAAGATCTGAATAGGTCAGGCTGGCAGAGTGTAGGATGGGGGACTGCAGTCTGTGACTTGACAGGACAGTAGGAGAAATATCGAATTCTACTCATGAACAGAGTTGAGAGCTAAGATCTGAACTAGTGCTCAAATAGATTATTAAAGAAGAAATTGTGGTTAGCTCAGTAACTCTGATGTCTCTATGATTTAAAATGTTTGAAATCTGTGATTGCATATGTCACTAAAAGATATGCTCTGGTTCAGGTAGGAGGTCTGTATTGTACATTGGGTTAGACTGATGACAGATGAATGTATGAATGTCTCGCATCCACTTGAAATAACCCTGTATATGGACTGCATTGACACTTGACACGCAATTCTAAACACCCACTGAAGTCTTTAGATCTATTGGCTACCTCAAAAATACAGGTCAAACACAATTTATTATTGGGATTTAAAAATATTTAAATAAGATGCATTTACATAATAAAATTGCTCTAAAAGCTCAACTCTTGTTTTTTCTGTAAGTGATTAAAGGTAAACTAAGAAAGACACTTCAAAAATACATGTAAAAATGTATCTGTATACAGTGTATATAACAGGTTATATGGTATTACTAAAATATTTTTATAGAAAGTGGGTACTTTCAAGTAATTTAGCCAAAAATCTGAGCTAATCTAATCTGTTGTACTTTCCTAATCTATACTGTTTGGAGATATGAGTATGCATTTTACTTGCATTAGAATATTCTAGCCTGAAGTGAACTTTGGCAACTGAGAGGGCAAGACCTTTCCAGTTTAGTAACGTATTGAGGTCCCGGGAATACCAGACCATTTTCACAAAGGATCAGAGGCACATAGCCCAGTGTTTTGTCCTGGACAAAACATCCCTTTCATGAGGCATGGAGCAGGAATTAGAAGAAAGCAAAAATAATTTGAATCAACATGACAGTCCTTGGATTTGGTAGTACTTAGGTACCGCACTCACAGACTCGAAATGATTTCTACGAGGTTAGAAAGCATGAAGCTCTCTGTGGCCTTGATTTGTCTTTTTGCTGTGGTACAACATTTAAGTGAGTTTAGTGCTGACTTAATCTTCTTATAAGCAAAAATTGGAAGTAATTATTTTATCTGGGTAGTGTAGCAGTAGTGCCCAGTTCTGCTATGTGGAAGATTCAGGAGTTCACTCCTCAGGTCTTATGAGCTTGGGCATGTCAATGTTGCATCAGTAGTGTTTTTAATACTCTCTCACGTGGGTCTCTCTTATAGTTGATAAGACCTTGTGGAAATGTCAAGAGGTTTCTAAAATTAATTATTTCTTCTCCTTCTGGGAGGAGGTTATGGATGTGATGAATGAAATAAAAGTATAATTTATTGCAAGAGATAATGACTAAAAATGAAGAAGAAAAAAAAGCAGTAGCTAACTAAATTTAAAAGTAGAAAGTTTTTTATACCTGTAGCACAGTAAAAGCCTGTTGTGCTTACTGAATTTAACAAGCAGACCTGGGATTCAGCCTTGGCCCTGCTAACGACTGGAGGTGTTATTGATGTAGTGAACTAATTACCCATGTGATGAAGTTGCCTGCTGGAGGTTTTTGACTGCTTCATCACTGTGGCACCTCCTACAGGTTAATTCATTGAGCAGCACAGGTAAAACCTCCAGATGAAGGTCCTGCTCTCTTTTCATCTAGGCACAAAGGCTTGTACTGACAGCAGTAACTAAATCGAGATGAATATTTTCCTGAATTATTGATCAAGTAGCTAGAGCTGTATCATAAAACTAAATGGTTTGGGATGCATCTGTAGCAATTCACCGTCATGGCATGGGAAAAGTGTACACAGTAAATTTAAAAATCAAACCAAAATGAGTAACAGCCTTTCTCACCTGAAGGAGAGCCCCCAGATTAAATGAGGAAAAGTACAGCAGAAAACCTGTACATTTGAAGAAGGGAGGGGAAGGAGGGGGGGAATTGCTTTGTTTAGCAAACAGGGAATGGGCTACATGGGCTTCAAAATCTGTTTGAATACTTTCTATGTATAAAATTCTTTCATGGCATTTGTTCTCAAATGTTTCAGTACACACATTAACATTCAGAACATAAACAGCTCATTTAATTAGATGATAAACTGTTTCACTTACAAATGCTATTTTTCCCTATAAATTTTAAGATATTCATTCCATTTGTTATTAGACTGTTTTTGCATTTGCTCTATCCATTGATGAAATAGCATATAAACGTCAGTATTTTCTGTCCAAATCTAGACTTTTGATACCAGGCAGAAGAGATACAAGATTTCTTAACATTATTAGCTTTATGAAAATATTTTAAGGTTGTGGAATCCTTTATACAGAAATATTTAGTGGTTAGTTGGTTTGTTTTTCATTGTGGTATAGCTGAAAAGCCTCTGAGACTAGCAAAGCTAACACTGCCTTTGTTCTTTACTTAAAGCTAGAAGTGTGTTGTAAATAGTCTGGATTTCTCATCCAAGCTTAATATGCTGTTATCTAACAGGATGCACTAAGTGTTCTGTAACAACTGCAGAACTCATCAAGCAAATGGAAAGATTAGCCCTGAAATCAAGCCTCAAACTTTTATTTTCTTGCAATCAATAGGCAAGTAATGCATGCTGGATTTATAATGATATTGAGATTGACTGCTTAAATCCTTTTTAAAGTTCAAAGCTGGAAACAGATTGTGTGTACAAGCAATCCACAGTAGAGTTTGAGTAGGGGCTTGTGATAAATAAGTGAAATTGGGTTTGACTGAAATGGCCCATCAGTCCCACATGGGTTTAGCAGAAAGATTTCAGGCTGAAAAAGACAGGGGTTTGGAGAAGCATCAACCATTGGTTTCACATCACCTGAGATTGCTTTGTGGAGTCTGTCTTCTGGGAGACATAAAGACAAGAGGCTCATTAAAAATGAGCAGCACCAGGGAGAATGATTGAGTTTCAAGTATACTTGTGTTTTTTAGCTTGAAGAGTTTAAAGGTGAAGATACATTTTAAAAGCTTAACTGGCAGATGAGAAGAATGCTGTCAGGTTTCTCAATGAAATCCCTTTATATATAGGTAAATAGGATATTATAGTATATTTTTGACAACAACCACCACCAACAAACCCCCACAAAAAATTTACTCAGCTCAGAATGTTCTGATAGTTGGATGAAATTGATAGTAAATCAGCTATCAAAACTGGATTTGTTAAAACAGGTTGTCTTCAGTCCTGTTATCTGATAACTTCAGAGGCAGTATTAACTGTCTGTGAAAGTTGGGGAAGCAATGAGTCTTGGGGCTCACTTTGAAACTGTTCTACGCTGTACTGGCAATCTAGCTGTGTTATTGCAAAGCTTGTTGTGGGCCCATTGTCTTTAGATATGACTTACCTATTCCAAGACTTTGAATTGTTTTATGCTGTTGTATTTATTGACCTTAGAAAAACACGATACTGAACTTCAAAACCAGAACTTCACTTTTTACTCTAATAGAATCTGTGCTGTTAGCAGATACAGTTACAGTAGTTAAAAGTAATTTAAAATATCATGGATTTTGATTGTGACAGCATGAGGCTGTCCACATCTGTCTGTTTACTTAACACTGGAAGGCAGGGAATGAGCAAAGTGGCTTTGACCTGTGAAGTAACACTGTGGTTCATTCAGTCAGAGCAAGTGTTCTTTAACTCCATTTGAATTGTAAATTTATGTGATAAATGTTGTTGAAGCAACATAGTCTTTTTCTCATAGTCTCATAGCGTGAAATGCAGCTGAAAGCTGATTTGTTTTGTGAAAACTTCTATGTCTTGGCACAACCACAGTCGAAAGAACATTGGCTGCTTACTGTGTTGTTTATTCTTGCCTTCATTCATGTCTGTTCATTCATGCACATTCATTACAATGTGGGGAAAAACTTTTGAGGGAATAATTGAACAGCACACTTCCAAACTAAGAATGAAGATGTTGGATTTTAGTAATTTTAAGAAAAAAGTGCTATTTTTCAAAGTTATCATAAAGTACATTTGTGAAAATCACAAATGTTATCCCATTTTTCACTGGGATCAGGAACTTGATGGCTTTGTGAGTGGAAGAGCTAGTGGTGCTGATTGTGGGAAAGGTGGTTTGTCTTTTGTTAGGCAGAGCCCTAGGATGGATGTAGCATGAAAAGGTTCATCTTTATGACAAACTGAAAATCTAATAGTGTTTCCTGAACAGAGGTTAGAGAAATGCTCTGATGTGTTCTTGTAATCAGTCTTGATGATTGTATGTTTCTGAGGTTACATTGTGTTTTAAATAAAGTGAAGTGTCGGGGTGAGCAGACCCTGTATTATGGTGATTTTTGGCTGCAGGGCATGCATTTCAATCCCTTCCTCCCAGCTGGGGTAAAAAAAAAAAAAAAAAAAAAAAAGACTGAATATGCCCACACTGTTTCTTCCTTCCTTTTGAATTTTTATTTCATCTCAGATTTTCCAGTGTATACACTTCTTTCTTGAATATAATCCATGCAGTTTTGTACTGTTTCCTACTTGTACAGTTTTGTATTGTTCCCCAAATGCCTTCCCCTGCTCTTCTCTCCCTTCCCTTAGACAAATCTTTCTGGAACAGCAATACTGTGCTGTATTTTAATGATATACGAAGACACTGGGAGTACTCGGGTGAGGTGAAATGGAAAGGCGTAAGCAGTTTTTAGGATCATCAATTATAAAAGTGGAATTAATATGAAGCTACTGAGAGCAGACAACTTTCTTCTTTCCTTTTGTTGAAATTTGCCTATCTTTAACAGATCAGCACAACCGGTTACATTTCTCCTAAGTACCATATTGGGAGATTTAATGGTGAGTGATTCTTGAGCTTACCATTTGTCAGGGCAGAACTTTACCTTGAGGAAACAGTTCAAGATTTTGCCTCCAGGCCTCAGTAGCTCTATAGGAGCAAAAGAAAACCAGGAAAAAGAAAATGAATAGTAATTTTATACTACATTTAGATGTTTTCTTCTTAATTCCAGCTGCACATGCTTTGGCATGTTTTGGTGATAGTTCTCCTCAGTGAACTGAAAGGAGAAGTGAAGGTAAAATTATGATAAAATCCAAGTGAAGAAAGGATAACAGGGTTTCTATGTAATAATAATAGGGGAAACTTCTGTTACCAACATAAGAAATCACAAATAGATGCTGAGTGGAAAAGAGATACCTGTGGTATGTATTCTGTCCCTTGTCTGACAGAAGGGTGAGGTGCTGCAGACCACTGCTTCAGCGTCACAACTGTATGGTCCAGGAGCTAGACTGAAAGTTACGCTCTTTCTTTTCTTTTCTAGGAAAGAGTACAGAAAACGTTGTCATGTGTTTTACTATAGTTTTTCAAAACAGAGGTGTCATTTCAAGTCCTTTAAGAGGTACTGCATGTTAACTTGTCAAAAGAAAGTATACCTAATTGTTACCTTCTGTATATATTACTGCAATACATACATCTGTTTCCCACCCTCCCAATATGTCCTTGCTAGTCTCCATTTCAAGTAAATGGAGAAAAAAAAATACCTCTCCCACATCTCTCTCCTGCAGCATCTGCTTTCATTGCCAACCACAATGATTGAATGCTTTTACACATTTAATAAGGGGGTTTTGTGCACTCCTGGGTGGTAGCTATAAAAATAAATTAAGTGAATCCTATGATATAAGCTCTATAAAAGAGGTGTTCAGTTGCGTTTTTGTTTTTCTCAGGAGGCTTGTTCCACTACCAGAATATATTTTGAATTTTTAATTCTATTTTAAGCATGTGAGAAGAAGGTTGCTTCTGATAGTTATTTGTAGGTCAAAGTTTTATGTCGAGACGTTTTCAGGCAGTTTATGAAAGAGGCTTCTGCATTTTGAAGCATGGTTTTGTCATGTATTTGTGATATCCAAGATACAAAACATACGGAGAATCTGCCTTCTATTTACTCATTTTTATAGTGGTTTTGACTTCAGTCCAGAATTTTGTCAGGTTGAGTCAGCTCCAAAACACGTGTACGTCACCTGTCTCCCTTTTGCAACTGGTATGCCCAATGTGATCTTTTTAGTAAGCTCTATACATTTGTAGGTTAAATATATCTTAAATTGAACTTCTAGTTGTTCTTGAAAAGTCATTCCAAAGTATTTATACAGAGATTTTTTTTCTTAAACGACTCTTTCAAAAAAAAAAAAGTTGTCATAATAATATTGTACTTTTAAAGAGAATTCTCTGATCTGAAACTTGATTTAAGTATTAAATTAATAATTAAAAACATAAAATGATGTGTATATATTTACAAAAAAGAAATTAAAACAAAACAAAAAAACCCCAAAAAACACACAAACCACCAAAAACCCCACAACCACTAAAATTTATCCATAGCAGCTATTTGTACAAGGAACATCTCTTTCAGTATTAACTTGTGTTAGACTGGAAGACCAACTAGTAGTTTTAACATCCAGCATGATATCCTTTCCTATTACTAGAAGCATAAAATCCAAATGACTTTTGCATATATGCTTGTTTTAATAACACCTTTCAAAACAGAGTTTCCTAAACACATTTCTGCATAATCCTATACTTTCTTTAGTGGATTGAATACTCTGTTTCTTTTGTAGACATGCTCTAATTAATGACAACTGCAGCAGGGATATAATTTGTGTATGTAGGT